GAGGGGGCAGTGTTCCAGAGTGTGACAGCAGAGAAAGAGGGGGGCAGTGTTCCAGAGGGTGTCAGCAGAGAGGGAGGGGGAGCAGTGTTCCAGAGTGTGACAGCAGAGAAAGAGGGGGACAGTGTTCCAGAGTGTGTCAGCAGAGAAGGAGGGAGGGCAGTGTTCCAGAGTGTGACAGCAGAGAAAGAGGGGGACAGTGTTCCAGAGTGTGTCAGCAGAGAAGGAGGGAGGGCAGTGTTCCAGAGTGTGACAGCAGAGAAAGAGGGGGACAGTGTTCCAGAGTGTGTCAGCAGAGAAGGAGGGAGGGCAGTGTTCCAGAGTGTGACAGCAGAGAAAGAGGGGGACAGTGTTCCAGAGTGTGTCAGCAGAGAAGGAGGGAGGGCAGTGTTCCAGAGTGTGACAGCAGAGAAAGAGGGGGACAGTGTTCCAGAGTGTGTCAGCAGAGAAGGAGGGAGGGCAGTGTTCCAGAGTGTGACAGCAGAGAAAGAGGGGGACAGTGTTCCAGAGTGTGTCAGCAGAGAAGGAGGGAGGGCAGTGTTCCAGAGTGTGACAGCAGAGAAAGAGGGGGACAGTGTTCCAGAGTGTGTCAGCAGAGAAGGAGGGAGGGCAGTGTTCCAGAGTGTGACAGCAGAGAAAGAGGGGGACAGTGTTCCAGAGTGTGTCAGCAGAGAAGGAGGGAGGGCAGTGTTCCAGAGTGTGACAGCAGAGAAAGAGGGGGACAGTGTTCCAGAGTGTGTCAGCAGAGAAGGAGGGAGGGCAGTGTTCCAGAGTGTGACAGCAGAGAAAGAGGGGGACAGTGTTCCAGAGTGTGTCAGCAGAGAAGGAGGGAGGGCAGTGTTCCAGAGTGTGACAGCAGAGAAAGAGGGGGACAGTGTTCCAGAGTGTGTCAGCAGAGAAGGAGGGAGGGCAGTGTTCCAGAGTGTGACAGCAGAGAAAGAGGGGGACAGTGTTCCAGAGTGTGTCAGCAGAGAGGGAGGGGGCAGTGTTCCAGAGTGTGGCAGCAGAGAGGGAGGTTAGTGTTCTAGTTTCATTTCTGTTGCTGTGAAGAAAAATATCTTGATACCAAGCAATGTTGCTAAGAGAAGTTTATTTTAGTTTGGAATTCTCAAGTGCATCACTGGCAGGGAAGTCATGGAGGCAGGAGTCCTAGACAGCTAGCTACACCACATACACAATCAAGAGCAGAAAGAAATAAATGCACCTGTGATGCCTGCCTGCTTGCTGGCTAGTTTTCTTTACTCTTAGAAAGTTCCAGAACTGTTGTATTGCTGTGATGAAAAACCATGACCAGGGAAACTTATAAAAAGAAAACATTTAATTGGGGGCTGGCTTACAGAAGGTGAGTCCCGGATCACTATGGTGCGGCAGCCATCTGCTAATGGCTCTAGGGCAGTAGCTGAAAACTTTACATCCTGATCATCAGGCAGCAGGCAGAGAAGAGAGAATGAGGCTGAGCCTGGCATGGGCTTTTGAAACCTCAAAGCCCACCCCAGTGACACACCTCCTCAAACAAGGTCATACCTCCTAATCCTTCCCAAACAGTTCCATCAACTGGGGCCCAAGCATGTATACATATGAGCCTATGGGGGCATTTTCATTTAGACCACCACAAGGACCTACCCAGGGAATGGTGTTATCTGCAGTCGTCCAGGTTCTTTTGTATCAACCAGCATTGAGATAGCCCCCACCTATACCTGTGGGACCATCTGATCTAGGTGATGCCTCATTTGTACTCTTATCTCAGCTTATTCCAGGTTAACTAAAGTGACAGTTAAAGCTAGCCAGCACAGGAGGTGAGGCTTGAGTACAATTCTGTCACTGTCACCTATACTTGGAAGTGTTTTGCAAAAATGTTACTGATTTGAAGAAAATAGCTTGAATTTCAGCCCAGCGGTTTTATTTCCAAGTAAATGAAGGCTTCCTTCCCTGGGGACCAGGAGACTGGCCTGTGTCACACTGATCATCTGAGTTGAGGTAGAATGGATCCTGGACTCCCAATCCCTGATCTGTGCTCTTTTTGTGGCTTTGTGACTTCTTGGAGAGTCACTTCCTTTGTCACCATCCACATTTCTGCCTTTCTGCCTCTCCCGATCACTGATGTCAGGAAAAATCAGTGCTTTGTTCCATGCCAAGGGGTCAGGTGACCTGGCCCACTGGCCACCTGTACCAAGAGACTCTGAGTTGACGTCAGCCTGCCTGTTACCAGCCAGCATTTCTCTGTTGAAGCTGTTCTGGGACCACATCTGTCTCATTTGTCATGTTTGGCATAGTGACACATTTAACTTTATAACAGGGCTACTTTTGGTAGACTGACATTTGATTTTTGCTTTATGAAGTCTGAAAATTCTGCCTAAATGCTAACGCTTCATTCAGAAAGCCCCTGAGGGATTGGGAGGCTTGATTTAATCCTGATAGCTTATCACGTGTGTGAATTTGCCAGGCCCTCAGCATCATATTAAATACTTCTTCTTTGGATGTAGGTGTAGTTAAAACAGTGATGAAACTTGCCAAAGCTTTGGAGCTGACCAAGGCTGAGTTTGGGTTGAGGTTCATGGAAGTTGTTTCCGAGCCCTCTGCCCAGTGCCCATCTGTGTCTGTTGGGAATGTGTCTCTTTGCTGGACTCTAGTTCTCACATCTGCGAATCCCTTTCCTTAATGAAGGTTGTTGGTTGCAGGAGCATAGAGGGCTGGGAGGAAAAGGGGGTAAATGAGGGAAGGGTATGTCAAAATCAACAGCAGATGCCATGTCTGTTCTTATGAATGCCTTGGCCATTTTATCCTGTAAGTTCTAGGGTAGCCTCTGTCATAGAGACCCAGGGTTCCCAGGGCCTACAGCACACACACACACACACACACACACACACACCACACCACATAGTGCTTGCATATGTGCCCTCTTAAAAGTTGGCTTAGGCATCAAATAACTTAAGTCTGACAACTGAAATAACCCTGTGATCATGTCCATCTGTTGGAGAAATAGGGTGTCCATTTGACCTGCTTCTCTGAGATCTAATAAAAATGATGGACGCTAAAATCCATATCACTACAGCCAAGTAGGAGGGCCTTTTTGCTGTTGATGCTGGGATGTTAGTCAAATACAACCAGACTGAATGGCTCAGGAGAAGGTACAGAAATAGCCCTGTTCTCCCAGTTGAGGCAAACAGTAAATATTTGGTTCTGTCAGTAAACATAGACTTAAGGAGTAATCGGAGCTGGTTTTATGTCTTTTGTTTAAGGTAGTCCTTTAGCCTGGAATTTTACCAAAGTTAATAGAGCTTACTTAGTCAGAAACTATGGCAGTGCTTCTGCATTCAGTGTAGGCCAATAGTAGTGTCTTTGTCTTAGGTTAGGCAACTAAGTTTTGGCACACCGAGCAATGAGAGAATGCACCAGCAAGCAAGCATGTGTTGTTTAAAAGAATACTTTGCCCCAGGAGTGGTAATACACACCCAAAAGCCAGCATTAGAAAGCCACGGTCAGAGGGTCAGAGGTTGAAGACCACAGCAGCAACATAGTGAGCACCAAGCCAGGCCCCGGGGCCACACTGAAGCCCCATCTCAACATAAACCTATATATGAACACTTGGCAAACAGTTTTTCTTTTTAATTTTAGGAAACAGATATTGATGACAGGTATGGAGATCTCGATGCTAGAGGAGATTCTGATGTTCCTGAGATGCCACTGTCCTCAGACAGGACCCCCGAGATCCTCAAGAAAGCCCTATCGGGACTATCTTCAAGGTACGATGGGTGAGGAAAAGTCCATCTTGCTGCCCAGCACAAGCATATGCTTCAAGGTTATCCTGGTTCATCCGTGCATCCTGTTTGGCTTTTTGTGGGTTTGGGACCATGGGAGAAGAAGGTGGTAATGAAGGACAGTATGAAGTACTTTATGAGTGCCTTTATTTAACTCTTAGACCATGTGCAGTATGAGAAAACCAAGTCTGATAGGTTAACTGGTGAAGGGATGAATTGACTGGTAAAGGTTACAGGAACAACCCAGGCTCCTAGATTTTCTGGTGTTGCAATGTCTCATAATGAAAATCACATACTGTGTATTCTTCAAATGCCAGAAAAAAAAAGAAGTAATTTTAATCATTTTCTTAGATGGTGGTTTGTGTGTGTAAGGGGGTGTACATATGTGTATGCATATGGTGTATGTATATGTTCTTGTGGGAGTGTTCATGTGTGTGCCTGGGGCTCTTTAATTTGGCCAGGATGGCCACCCCTCCACCCTCTCCAGCCTCCCAACTCTGTAGTCTGCCACTGGGCTGTGCCTTAACATGGATGCTGGTATCCAAATGAGGCCCTGTGCTCACTCAGCAGGGGCTTTGTAGCCTGCACCATCTCCCAGCCTCCAGAATTTCTTTCTTTAACTGAATCTAAAATTACTGTCTAAAACTCAACAACACTTTACCATTTTGTATTTGTGCAATGGGATTTCAGCTAATTCTGTCTTGCCCTGCACTGCATGCCTTGGTAATTTGAATTATAAAATTTATGAAAGTGCAGAAAATGCACTTTAATTTCAAGCAGGTTACTGTGCGAAATGTTGCATACCAACAGAGCTTCACCAGCATCTGACTACACCCCACAGAAAGAGGTGTCTTTTACATTGCATCCTGAGAGCACAGGCACAAAAATGCTCTGAAGGTTTCTGTGCTGTTATCTTGTATGATATATCACCTCTGATTTCTTTCTGATTGAGGCTGTTCTTTGGTACTGAACTTATGGGCATTTCTCCTGAGGAGTCACAGCCCACCTTTCTAACACTTCTGGTCTAGTCCAGTCGGGAGTTTCCTTGTTTGTGTTGGTTGATAACCACTCTGAGGATATAAAGGGAGACTCACATTCAACTCCATCTGTCCTCCCTTACCTTCACAACATGGGTCAGTCTGGTGGTGGTGGTGGTGGTGGTGCTGTGTGTGTGTGTGTGTGTGTGTGTGTGTGTAAGAGAGAGAGAGAGAGAGAGAGAGAGCATGTGCACATGTGCTCTCCTCACCAGCAAGTCGGGAGCTCTATAGAGACCACCCACTGGGTGTCTGCTTTGACACTGTCTACCTGGAGACAGCCAAGGTGCCAGTGGACTGAGCCCCAGGACTGTTCCTACTTAAGACAAGATCACAAGTGAAGGCCTTCAGAACTCTAACCAGACACAGATTGGGTTCCCGTCAACCCTCATATTAGGCTCAGTTCAGAGCAGCCCTCAGGCCTTGAGGAAATGATCAGATACAGAGAGTGAGGTCAGCATGTCCCAAGTGTAGGTTCTGTCCCTGTGGAGGTGTAGTCACCTTCCTCTTGGGATGTGGATGAATTCTTGTTCCCCTTTCTGGTCTACTGTTTTCACCTCCCAAAATTTTTTGTGCTTCATCTTTGGGGGTTCAAGAAACTTCATGACAGGACTGTGAGCAGATAAACTGGTCAGCTCTGATGCTGGGGTGCTGAGCCAGGAAACCCAGCAAGGCTGTCCCTTCCGAATCTTCTTGTTCCATGGACAGTGCTCCTTCCTCCTGGGATATGATAGCCTTTTTTCTCAAATGGGGGTCTTCTGGTCTCCTTCCTGTCAAGATGGAGTAGAGTATTTCCTTACAGCCAGCTCTAGGACAGGATGCTGAAGGAAAATTTGAGTATACTTTTAGTGCCTGTGACCTACCTAAGAGAAGAAAGTCGGGTGTCTGTGGCCTGCCTTAGAGAGACAAAAAGGACTGGATGAAAGGAGGGCAGGCTAAGGCAACGAGCAAGATTTTGCTTTTTGAAGTCTGCATCTGAAGCTTCCCCTGGCCCAGCATTAACCTAGCCTTTGAGAAAATAAAGACTTTGGGAGGTAAGCCTGGAGTTGTGGTTGAAAATGGAAAAATCTGTCACAGTATCATAAACATATTAAAATAAATTATTTCAAAGCATTGTTTTCTTGCTTTTTATTTTTAAGATGATGGAACAAAGGTATGCTATCTTATTGAAAACATGACTCTGATTTTAATAGTCCTGTTCACAATCATTTCTGTGACCTAGTTCATGGATACAGTGGATACAGCTTTGCTTTAAAAATCTCTCAGTTCTGTTTCATGGTGTGTATGTGTGCATACATGTGTGTTATATAAATGCATACACATGTGTGTACATTACTTCAGTGCTCTATAATGATGCTGAATTCCCAGGTGTCAATCAGCCTCCTCTTCAGGGTGACCTTGTAATATGAGACAACAGCAAATGGCAGCAGCTGTTTACTGAGCATGCTCTGTGCTCAGCACCACTTTTAGCAATGAACAGGCACTAATCCTTTCTCACAGAAGCCCTCTCACAGTTATGCTTGGACTGTTTTGCAAATGAGAAATAATATGAGCCCAGGCCTTGTTCTTACCTGCACTGTGTAACGAGGGAGTACTTCTCAAAACCAGAAAGATAGATTGTATAACACCGTCCATGAGAGACTTTGTTGTGAAGACCAGAATGGTAGCTGGTTGAACAGTTTAATCTCACACAATTGCTCTGTACAGAGTACGCGGGTGTTGTTTCTGCACAACTTACCGTTTGAAGCCTTCTTTTAGTGTAGTAAACCAAATGAGACTGTGTTGTAGAGACTTGAGTTTTATATTATGTTGCGTTAAAAGTCCTCACTGTGTGAGAAGTTTCTGAGTATTAGGAAGAACCCGTGACCTTCCCAGCATAGGTATTTGCAGTAGTGGTATATATTCTTAGACCCTCTGCTCTGTGCATTGGGTGTGCATGTGTGTGTTTTGTGTGTACATTGTATGTGCACATGCGTGCCAGTGTGTGCACATGTTTGGTGCAGAAATGGGACCATACTCTTCTTACCTTGCTATTATTACTCCATTCTGTGGTAGTTAGAAGCAGTATCTCCTATCCTTAAATATCTTCTACCCAGTGGGGGGGGCATTTGTCTCTGAGTTTTCACAGTGTAAAACATCTGCATATTAAATATGTGCTTCTCCCTAAAAACACATAATTTTGTTAAAGTGAGTCCATAACTTTCTTAAAGACTGGAACTGTTTGGCCAAGGTTCTGGCTCATTTCTGTGCCCTTACTCTGTGATGCCTCAAAAGAAATGTGCTTTTGAAAAGTGTCACTCACTGCAGTTGCCTCAGGCATGACCTCATCCAAGTGTGCTCCGAGGGGTGTGTCCATCAGCTGATGTGAGTGTGCTCTGAGGGGGTGTTCACAGGTAGCTAAGTAAGTATGCTCTGGAGTGTTCTCAGAGGGGTATGATCATCAGCCAGGTAGATTGAGTGTGCTCTGAGGGGTGTGTCCATCAGTCAAGTAGGTGAGTGTGTTCTGGTGTGTGCTCTGTGTGATCATCAGTCAGGTAGGTGAGTGTGCTCTGAAGGGGTATTTGCAGGTAGGTAAGCTTCATCTCTCAGTGAGTTTCTTCTGGGGACGTGTGGCAGTGTATCATGTCGGCACAGTAGCTGCCGATGACAGCTGGTGGGTGGAGAGCAGACCTGGACAGCTAAGTGTGATAGGGAGGCTCTCCTAACAGAGTGGTCTGCTCCAAGGTGCTGCTAATGCCACAGAAACCTGGAAAGCTCCAGGGAGGCCTGCTGGTGCTCCTGAACTTTGTGTTGCCATCTCCTTTCTCTAAGAACCCACACACTTCCTGTCGACCTCTGCTCCAGGTTGGTAGATGGACTTTCTCCAAAATCCTGCTCTCCATCAGATGACAGCTCCTGTCTGCTCTTCAGGCCCGCCTCTGGGTCCTCACCCTTGGCTTAAATAAGCTGCATGACCATGCAAGTTCTCGATGACTCATCATGCTTGTGCCTCTAGGAAAATAATTAAAACATGTCATTAACTTTTGAAACAAAACTGACTTACTGGTTATATTAACAGCCTGACTGTGATTTGATCAGCATGTAACCACTTAAAATGATTGCTTTTTTTTCCCCTCTGGATATATTGGGGATTGAAGCAGGGCCTCAGGTGTGCCAGGCGTGGTACTCTACCACTGAAGTAGATGATTACTAGGAAACCCGATATCGACCATCCACTCCATGTTAGCAGCAGTGATTTCCTGCCCTCCATTGCGTGCTATGTTTTTTAACTGAGTACTTCAACTCTGAAAGTCAGTGTTCAATTATAGGAGGATGTGTTTCCCAAAACTCACTCAACCCCTGGTGCAACAGGGCTGAGAGGTGTGATCTAATTAGAGCCCCTGTGGGTAGGTGCGTGCCACTGACATGGGAGTGGGGGCAGTTATCACACAAGTAGCCTTGTTATGAAAGTGACTTTTCTTGGTGGCTCGCCCTTGGCCTCTACTATAGGATGAAACAGCAGCATCCCCAGATGCCATGCCCTGATCCTGGATTCCTAGCCTCCAGGACCGTAAGAAGTAAAATTTTGTTCCTCATAAATTAACCAGCTGCAGGTGTTGTGTTATAGCAGCAGAAAGAGGACGAAAGACACAGTGCCACTCGATAATCACAGCACAGATAAATATTTATCTCCTAACATTGTGTTTTGGAGAGTCTGGAGATTAAATTAATTTTTTATCTTATTGGGAGAATTAGCTATGCAATAAAACATGGCTGAGTAGAGACTTCTGGCTGAGACTGGGGGGCTCCCCCTGTTTCCCGGGAAGGAGAGAGGAGAAGAAAAACATACTGCTTTACAGAGGAAGCACTGGAAGTTTATGCAGACAGTGATAGGTAGGATACCTGGGCTGTATAAAGAAAAAGATGGATGAGGCACAGGAGGACAGGCTGCACACATCTGTGCACACAGCT